TAAAACTTGAAAATAACAGAATTACTTTGCTTTCCTCTACTAAACTACCCTAATATACTGTACCACTCTGCTCTACTGTACTAAGTATATCTACTTCCACTACCACCACCACCACCACCACGCTCGGACCTCCCCCCCCCCCGTGCTCCTCCTCATTTCATTTCATTTCATCTTCCTTTCCCTCCCGATCCGCTTCAACCATCCCATCCGATCTCGACTCGACTCTCACAGGGCTCATCTCCCGGTCTAACCATGATTGCTCAACCGTGATCGGTTCCCACACTCGTTACACTATCCTTGTTTATCTTCGACTTCGACTTCATTTCATCACCATCATCACCCTCCTCCACTTCTTCTTTCACGACAGCGTTGACGCTCACGACTTGACGCCGATCGAGCCTCCCACATTCTTTTCCCTCTTTCATCTCGCACTTTCGCACTTTCGCGCCGTTGACCGGTCGCCCTCATTGATATCCCCCTCTCGCCTGTCTCTGTCTCTTCTTTCGCCTTCATCATGTCTCTCGGTAAGATCAACATCAACATCAATCTACATCACGGCATCTCCTTGTCCATCGCCATCTCCATATCCATCCCATCCTCCGTCGCTAACCATCCTGCATCATTCAGACTTCTCCCCTGCCAACTCGGGCTTCCTACGCGCCAGAGGCTGCAAAGACTGCGGCGAGGCCCCCACTTGTCCAACATGCCCCAGCGGCCAGATCTGTACCATGACCACACAATCCTGCGACACCTGCTCCGTCACCAAGTGTATCCCGGATGGGAGTACCTCCTCCTCTCCCAAGGACTCAGGCGGCGGCCCCAATGTCGGTGCAATCGCCGGTGGTGTCGTAGGTGGTGTTGCGGCAATTGCTATTCTTCTCTTCCTGATTTGGTGGTTTGTGGTCCGCAAGCGCCGCAATCAGGACGGCGAAGAAAAGAACAGTGAATTCGCCGCCGCTCGCGCAGAGCGCAAGTCGACCAACTCCATCGCTTCCACCGTCCTCACTCGTGCCTCGAACGTCATCCAGATCGCCTACATCCCCGGTGTCACCAACCGTTCTCCGCCCGAGACCCCTGCCTCGTTGGTTCCCCCGGTTCCTCCGCTCCTGGTGCCGCTCCCGATCAGCACTTCTTTATGCCTGGTGACCTGCGTGACTCCTCCTGGACCACCACCACCGGTCACCAGAGCATGGCCCCAACCTTCCGGAGCAGTGTTGCAACCACGATCTACCGCAATGACGCTATTGTCAGCGCCGTCCCAGCGCAGCAGATCTCGCGCACACGTGCCAACATCGTCAGTGTTCACAACGCATCCCCCGATGAAGACGGCGCTCCTACACAACCCGTTCCCGTCATGATCACACCCAGAGATGCCCCCGCCGTTCCCGCCATCACCCAGTCCCAACTCGCCAAGGCAGAGGCCTTGAAGGGCAACAGCTCGATTGTCGCCCGCCAGGTTGTCGCCAAGCCCGTCATGGTCCGCGGCGCCTCGGTCAAGAAGAAGGATGGTCAAAGCTCGGCAGGTGCCAGCTCCAAGGACGAGGTATTGAAGCCCGGCACAGCTGCTTCAGGCCACAGCAGTCAACAATTCGACCATCAAACCTCCACATTCGACGGAGAATCTTCCGATGAAGAAGACGACACTCGCCCCTCATCCCCATCCCACTCCACAGCAGCCAAGACCACCTCCACGGGTGAAGAACAATCATCCAAGGGCGCCGGCCCGTTCCATGATCAAGCCGAAAGTGCCAGCCCGCGTCAGACAACACCACCACCACGCGTGCAAAGTCCATTCTCAGACGCGAATGAGGTTAAATGATCGACTACCCCATACGTGGGGCCAATCGATGGGGCGCACCGGATTACACATTGCTTGATTTCTTGTTCTATTTTTTTCTCATCTGTCACATCTTTCTACTTCGTTGTATCTATGATTCCTCTTTGGTATATCTATTCGGCGTCAGTTCGTTATTCGCGGGTGCTTTGTATAGCGAGATGGCACTCGCGGAGGCGGAGCAGTCACATCAAACTTGAACTCTCCTTGATGAATCAATCAACATACTTTACCTTCACAACAACCCATTATTCAAACTACCTAGAATATCGTAACCCAGATCTTGATTAAAGCTTACTGTTAGTAGTATTTAGATTTAAATTTGAACCTTAGAAATCTATGTAACAAGGAGGCTTGGAAGTTGGTCGTACATAGTAGTACTAGGTACCTAGTAGAAGGTAACTATATACCTACCTAGGTAGGTATATCCGTTCTAATGAAACTTATTTGCAGCGATTTACCGCTAATAATACAACTAGTAGTCTTTAACCCCATCTGATCGACAAGATATATATAGTACTACTATGTACTAACCTAGCAAGTATGCAAAATATATGATCTATCAATTCCAACATGAAACAAACCATCTTCAATATGGAACATCTTGGCGAACCCTACTGATCCCCACCCGCAACGGCCACCAAAAGCAAAACAACCAATCCCAAACCAAAGCAATCATAAAAAGAGGGTATCTACACTACCAGTCACAATCTCCCCATAACATCACGTCTCATCAAGCCTCCTCCAACCCCATTCCAAGCCCAATCTTACGAATTAGCGCACGCTTGAGGAACGCCTCACGGGCCAAACCACGCGTATGTCTCGACCAAGAGTCCACACCAATCACCCCGCGAACAAGAGCCGCCTGTAGAGCATACAATGCATGCTGCAGCCCCTGCTCCTCCGCGACGAGATCGTATAGTTGTTTGCCCACAACGGTCGGAGCGACCAGAACCTCGTCGATGGGCGGGAGACACGATTGCGGATCCGCCACAGACGAGGTAGATGGCACAACTGCCGAGGCGGACGCAGACGCAGACGCGGAGCGAACCTGTGCATCTGCAATTGTAGCATCTGCACGGTGAATGGATTGTTGCAGGATGGCGGTATTTGATTGGAGGGAAGCATGAAGCGAATTGAGGTTCGAGACTTCGCCCTGGAGCGTGGCCATTGCTGCGTGGAGTGAGTGTGATTGGGAGACGAGAGATTGCGCCGCTGTATCGGACTGTGTGGCGTGCGCGTGTAGGGTCTCCGTGAGAGTCCTGGAGACGGCGTGGAGGAGGGCATCTTTCTCTGGGTTTGGCGGGATTGGGGGTGCAGGTCCTGCGGGTGCAAAGGATGGGAGTTCGAGTTCGAATGGTGAGGTGAGGAGATCGGGGGTTTGTTGCTTTGGCTTAGGAGCTGCTGTGGAGGGTGGTGGGTGTTGGTAGCCTTGTGGGTATGGTGAATGCTGGGGGTATGGGGGTCCAGTAGGTGGTGGTGGATGTTGTTGAGGTGGATGAGGTTCGTATCCTGAGTACTGAACTTGCGGTACTTGAGCATGGGTTGGTGGGGGATGATGAGCAAACTGTTGCTGCGGTGGGAATTGTCCTCCTGGGCTGACCGGGCCACTGCCATTTCCGTTGTATGTTGCGATACCATGTGGTGATTGAGCAGGAGGTTGGGCCATGGTTTGTGAAATGGAAGGTTGTCCAGCAAAATGGTGTGCCCTGCTGCCCGGACTAGCCATATGGCCTTGTCCGGCCTGAGAAACTCGACCCGGTTCATGTGGTTTTGGTGGAAGTGGTGGAAGAGGTGGAGGAGACTGATATCGTTCTGACAGCTGTGCCGGCCGCTGTTGAGCTTCATTGCCTGCTCCAGGCTTCGGTGGTAGCTGCGGCGGGGTATTGACCACCGGGGCCGGGGTCGGCTGGTGGTTTGCCGTTGGAGATGGTCCTATTCCAGGAGGCAACGGTGGTAATGGTGGCGGGGCTTGGGTCTCTTGCGATTGAGGCTGAGGGGCCATCTGCTGTCGATATCGGACGGGAGGCTCCTTCGCAAAGACTTCACGGAGGATTAAGAGAAGATCGGCAGTCGTTGATCTCTGTGAACGATTGCATAATGGGTCAGTGTCAAGCTCGCAGGTTGCAGGGTAAGTAGCAACCACTTACATCCCATGCCTCGGCCCAATGCGCCAGGTAGTGGTGATACACCCGTCCCTCCAGCGTAACATGTTGCCCAACGCGAACTGTCATCTCCTGCGTCGGCGTGACATACACCATCGGTGGCTCTCGTGGGTAGGTATTCGGAATCCAAAGTGTGACGGGGAATCGATATGTTGAGCCGCGAAAGACGACAGGCAGCGTGCCCACCAGATGGAGGAGCAGGGCCGAGAACCCATTCTCATAAGCTGGGGGAGAAGAGTGTCAGAGGTACTAGTTCTCGGATGATTCCATGAAAAGAACAGACTCACTATAAACATCGGTTCGAGGCGAGAGCGAGGGGTATTGAGCTAGCGCATTGGCGATATCGTGATAGGTGCGGTTGGGATCTTGGTAGGTCTGCTTGGGGTCGTAGTGATCCTGGGAAGGTGAGCGGGGGTTCTGGGCATAAGTGATGATCAAATTGGATGTATCCGGGAGACCAACCTTGGTCAAGACTGAATAGAGCCAGCTGAGGGTCCGCTGGGGGACCGCCATGGTGGGAGGCTGGAAGCTGGAGAGGTGCAACGGCTCCGTCGTCGAGTTGTGTCCTCCGCATCTTCCCCGCAGCGTCTTGGCGCGGCATTCTACGAGGTATCTGATCTAGGTGATTCCAAGGTTACCATAACTTGAATTGATGGGGGTCGGGCTGTTTATTGTTCTTACTTTATCCTACTATTTATCAATTACTTGGGATTTTGGGTTATTCAAGTGTCTTATTACTAGTACTAGTACTAGTACTTGGTAATAAGCAACCTGGAACCCGTCATTGCGAAGGGATACTGTATATACTCCAGGGCTAACTAGTGCTACTCATAGGGTAAATCTTCAAATACGAGTGATGATTCATGAAGGGAGTATTTGCATTCTGTACATCGAATTGTTGTTACACCAGACTTAACGCCGTTCCCGGAGAATTATTTTTCATCTCCAGCTATAGATTATTGCCAGGGAATAAACATGCAGAGAAAAAGACCACAACCAGATCAGTGTTGGCTCCACTCAATCGTGTTCAGATCGATGCCCTCCTGCACCAACTCCCACAGCGGGCTCAGTTCACGCAGGAACTGCACGCGCTCCGTGACGGCCTTGAGCACGTAATCGATCTCTGCATCACTGGTGAAACGACCGATACCGAAACGGATACTGCTGTGAGCGCTCTCGTCGCTGCTGCCCAGGGCGCGCAGGACGTAGCTGGGCTCGAGCGACGCAGAGGTACAAGCACTGCCCGAGGATAGGGCAATGTCCTTCAGGGCCATGAGGAGGGACTCGCCCTCAATATAGGCAAATGAGATGTTCACACAGCCGGGGTAGTGGGCCTTGGGGTCACCGTTCAGGGTAGTGTGCTCCATGGAAAGCAGACTCTCGGACAGACGCTTCGACAGACGCTCCACGTGCTTGGTGTCGTACTAAAAGAAGGTGGATTAGTATAAGTCTTGCGAATATTGCGAAGCACAATAGAAAACAAAAGCGAGTATCTTACCTCCATGTCTTGCGCGGCGAGTCGGCATGCCTCTCCGAAACCCACAATCAGATGGGGGGGCCAGAGTTCCACTGCGCAGACCTCTCTCCTGACCACCACCGGTGATGAGGGGGTCCAGACGAACACGTGGACGACGGCGAACGAAGCAAGCACCGATACCCTTAGGGCCGTAGATCTTGTGACTCGAGATAGACATCAAGTCAATGTTCAGCTTGTTCACATCCAGGGGGATCTTGCCAACGGCCTGAGCGGCGTCAGTGTGGAAGAAGACCTTCTTGGAGCGGCACAGACGACCAATCTCCTCCATGGGCTGGATGACACCGATCTCGTTGTTGACGGCCATGATACTGACGATGGCAGTATCGGGGCGCATAGCCGCCTCCAGATCCTCCATGCGAATCAGACCATTGCTCTGCACGGGTAGGTAGGTCACATCAAAGCCCTCATCCTGCAAGTGTCGGCAGCTGTCCAGCACACACTTGTGCTCCGTCTGGGTGGTGATGAGGTGCTTCTTCTTGCCGGAACGGCCAAAGAAGCGAGCCACACCCTTCAAGCTCATGTTGTTACTCTCCGTCGCACCACTCGTGAAGATGATCTCCTTCGGATCGGCACCGATCAGGTTGGCGAGGTGCTCGCGAGCCTCCTCGACAGCCTTCTCCGACTCCCATCCGTAGGCGTGGGTGCGCGAGTGCGGGTTTCCGTAGATACCGGTGAGGTAGGGGAGCATGGCGTCCAGAACACGGGGGTCGAGCGGGGTGGTTGCTTGCATATCGAGGTAGATGGGGCGGGTGCCTTGGTCCATCACGGTGGCCTGCTTGAGGATTCCGGCGGAGGGACTCATGGCGGCATCAGCAGAGGTGGTGGTGCCGGGCAAGTCGACATTTTGGGGGGCAATGCCAGCCTGCTTCATAAAGGACTTTTGCTCCTCCTTGATGGCCGCATCGACGTTGACCTGGGCTTGACCGGGCTTGGTTTCGGTGACATAAGAGCGAGCGCCGTGGACGGTGGCGAGGATATGACGGGGACCAGTCCAGGGGTTGCGGGCTGTCAAACGCCTTTGACAGACGCGCGAAGCGTGTCTCCATGCAGCGGGGGCAGCAGAAGACATGATGATCGATGATGGATAAAAGATGAAAGGGAAAAGAAAGAAGATGAGGAAGGGCCCGTCGGCGCGGAATGAAGAGGTTCGGCAATTTCCCGATCGGGCGGGCGGAGAGATGGGAGTTCTCCGAGGCGGAGTTAGTAGCAGTTAGCAGTAGCAGTTAGCAGTAGGTACTAGCGATACTGCAGTTCTTGAATAGTTGCCTAGATGATACATTAGTATTGGTTAAAAGTATATCAATCAATTCGATACCAATATATTATTATATTCATTGAAGGTGAGAGGTGGGAGCGGGATGTGTCACGTGTGGTATACATACCTGTACCTAACCATACTGTAGTTAACCACTCAGTAGTTACTAAGTAGTCCATGGTAAACTATGGAGGGTACTACTGGTACTAATAGCACTGCTAGTACCTAATATTATCCAGTTAGTTTTGCTTGTTAAAATAAACATAACTTGAACATCAACTTTTGTGTCTGGCTGTATTGACCCTTCATCCAGTACCTGTACCTACTAGTTAGTTAGCAGGGTACAGTAGTATCAGGTAGAACCCTGGAAGAGTAGACCTCGGGGACATACCTAGGTATAAAATAGAATAAAACATATTCTAGTTGCCACCACTACTGATTATATATGCATCCCCTATCATCATATGATACCCTACCCATCCCCCTGGTCTCCTGCTAACTCCGGCCCCACCGAATCCGGAGTCGAACTGCGCCGCCGATCAACTGTGGCACCGGGTAGGGCTGTACAGGAGATACTCGTACGGAGTCTCAGGGTTTAGGAGAGAGTATAGTACTATGTATTACTATGTAGTACTATGTAGTACTAGAATACTAATACTAGAATATGAGAAAGACACCCTGTAAATACTCGTAGTAATAGAATACCTCCTATTACTCGGCACTCATCGCTGCCTATTCGCACTAGCAAACTCAGCTTGGATGAGCCACAAAGCGGGCGCCTGAAGGACTCAGCCACTAGCAGTTCCCTGGCGCAGTTCCTTGGTGCTGTGGTGCGCTGCTCAGTTGTATCGGGCCTGAAGTCTTATGTCATAGCCAAAGTCGACTTTGCGCAGTGGACAAGGCAGTGGGATTTCCCTTCTTCCCCCCGCCTTGGCTTTTCCTCTCCTTTCCTTTCCTTCAAGTTCCTTACCTCTTTCTCTCTCTCTTCTCTTCTACACCTCCCCTCAATTCCACACCCAACACCCTCACCATGAGTTTCAAAGGCTTCCAAAAGAGCCTGATGCGCGCCCCGCAACAGTTCAAAGTCAAGTTCAACCTCGCCGAGCAATCCAAGGATGCCGTCTATAGTGATGCCGAGCGTCGCTTTCAGGAGCTCGAGAAGGAAACCAAGAAGCTTCACGATGAATCTAAGAAATACTTTGACGCTATTAACGGTACATCTCCTTACTCCCGAGAGTTCCGGGTTCTCCGTTCTCCGGGTGGAATCCCACACCGCGAGACCCGAGACTCGAGTCCGAAAGATTGCGGGAGAACGCAAAAAGTGCTGACTGAACTACCTCCCAGGCATGCTAAGCCACCAAATCGAATTCTCCCAAGCCATCGCCGAGCTTTACAAACCCATTTCCGGTCGCGCCTCCGATCCCAACTCCTACCAATTCGAAGGCAACCCCGAGGGCATCCAGGCCTGTGAGGACTATGAGGCCATTGTACGCGATCTGCAAGAATCTCTCTCTCCAGAGCTGGAGATGATCGAGAGTCGCGTCATCAGCCCGGCCGATCAACTGCTCGAAGTCATCAAGGTCATTCGCAAGGTTGCCGCCAAACGCGACCACAAAAAGCTCGACTTTGACCGCCACAACGCCTCGTTGAAAAAGCTGCAGGAGAAGAAGGACAAGAACATTAAAGATGAGAAGGCGCTCTACAAGGCGGAGAACGATGTCGAACAGGCCACCCAGGAGTTCAACTACTACAATGACTTGCTGAAGGATGAGCTGCCCAAGTTGTTCACTCTCGAGGCCGAGTTCATCCGCCCGCTCTTCCAGTCCTTCTACTACATGCAACTCAATGTTTTCTACACTCTGCACGACAAGATGCAAGGCATGAATATCGCATACTTCAACCTCAAACTTGATGTCGAGGAGGCCTTTGAGCAGAAGCGCGGTGATGTACAGCAACGCGCCGAGGCTCTGATGATTGTCCACTTCAAGACCAAGGGACTCGGCCGATCCGGCTCCAAAGTGAGCTCGCTCAAGGCGGCAGAAGCCAAGGCTGGACGTGGTCGGTCATCCTCAACTGCCGACGAAAATCCTCCTCCTCCCTACTCCTCTACCGCCGCTACTCCCAGTCCAACAGGAAGCAACTTCTCTGCGGCGGCCAAGGGAAAACCGGCTCCTCCTCCCCCAAGGGCAAAGCCTGCTCATCTCAGCAAGCCTGTCGAACGTGTTACCGCCCTGTATGACTATGAGGCTCAAGCACACGGCGACCTCGGGTTTTCAGCTGGCGACGTGATCGAAATTACTCAACGGACCGACAACACAAACGAATGGTGGTCCGGCAAGATTGATGGCCGGGAAGGTCAATTCCCAGGTGAGTGTGGTTTAATTTCGTAACCTCGTTAGATGGCCAAGTGCAAAATACTAACTTATCATCTTCCAGCAAACTATGTGCAGTTGCAGTAATTGTACCTCTGTTGAATTTCTCCTTTCTCCATCCTCCTTTTCCATTCTTCTGCTTCTTGTGATTCACCTTCCAGCCTTCGGTGCATAATGGTATAAATAGAGCGTTCCATGTGTAAATAACCTTCGTTTCTTGCTTTTGCTCAGACCTTTGAAATTGGTAATCGTCGATGCTACGTGCCACATCGACTTCGTGCGGGGGGAAGAGGGGGGGCCCTGCAGCGTTACAGTCTAATAAGCTGAGCTCTCCAATGTATTCTTCCTGTTCATCAACAATGTCTGAAATCATCCAAATCATTAACGCACGTCTCGTTGAGGGGAACTCCCTCGTCTCTCGATCGCTGTGGATTGACAGCCTCGCAGGCATCTTCGTCCCTTCGCCTGACCCCGCGCTGGTGAAGGTGAAGGTGGTCTCGACGATAGATCTCCAGGGTCGTATTCTATCACCAGGCTTTATAGACCTGCAAATCAACGGGGCCTACGGGTTTGATTTCTCAGAAGATGCGTCCAAAGATGCAGCAGGAGTTTCCTACAAGAATAGATACTCTGAAACACGTCAGAAGCTGATCAAAACGGGGACAACGAGTTTCTTGCCTACAATGACCAGTCAACACGCGGAGCGATACCACCAGGTGAGTATATAAAATCAGATCAGTAAGCCCTGCTATACTACTATACTAGTATCCATAAACTAACGCTGAACTGAACCCAGAACCTACCATTCCTAGGGCCATCCAAGTCCCGCAATCCCTTCGAGGGAAGCGAATCCCTCGGCGCCCACTGCGAAGGACCATTCTTCGCACACAATCGCATGGGTGTACATCTCCCCGAAGCAATCCAGTCTTCAGGCCCAAGCAGCGAGCCAGAGCTCGTGATCAGAACATATGGAGCCAGCAATCTATTCAACACAACACCACCCAACTCCCAAGAACAAGAATCAGAACCCGGAAAAATCCCATCGCACGTCCGGATGATCACAATGGCCCCCGAAAGACCAGGAGCCCTAAGTACCATCCAACAATTGAGCAACAAAGGCATCATAATGAGCATCGGACACATGGCAGCAAACTACACCCAAGCCGCCGCAGGCATCAAAGCCGGAGCGAAAATGATGACCCATCTATACAACCAAATGAACCCGCATCACCACCGCGAACCAGGACCACTAGGAATCCTCGGCGGAACGATGGACATAAATCCCGAGAACGAGACGAAGGTTATTCTCGAGGAGAATGATTCATTGCATCACGCTCACCATGATCCTCGCCCTACTCGGCCCTATTTTGGCATTATTGCTGATGGACATCACGTTCACCCGGCTAGTATTCGGCTAGCGCATTTGACGCATCCCGAGGGGTTGGTCCTTGTAACTGATGCATTGATGTTATTAGGAGGCGAGGATGGGACGGTCGATTGGTTGACGAGGAGGCTGACGAAGAAAGGGATCAAAGTTATGCTAGAGGGTACTGATATCATTGCAGGGAGGTGAGTACAAGTTGGCCTCTCCCCTTGGACGCAGAGATGGATACGAACAGTGTTGACTAATATGGATCGATCTAGCTGTGTGACCATCCCGCAATGTATAAACAATTTTCGGAAATGGACGGGCGCCTCGATTCCGGCTGTGCTACAGGCTGTCACGTCTAGACCTGCTTCGATTCTGGGAATGGAGAACGTCAAGGGATCCCTGCGAGATGGTGCCGATGCTGACTTTGTGGTACTCAGCGAGGAGGGTGTGTTGGGACAGTCTGTGTCCGAGCTGGTGGTTGATCAAGTGTGGAAATTTGGGGTTAAGGTGTTTGATCGGGATTTGGAATAGATCTTATGTACAAGCTGGATGGGTGGTAGACTAGGGTGGGTTAATTGATGATTGTTGATCGTAAGGCTATCTTGTAGTACTATAGAGCAGGATAATTAAGATCAGATGCGGACTTTTTTTGGAACAGAAATGAGCCTTGTAATCTAAACTAGAATGGTCGAGTTACCATGTACGAGGGGAAATATTACAAGTGCAGTAAAATAAGAATGTACTCGGAACTAACTCAAAACAGGACACCGAAATAAGAAGAAGAAATAGTGAGACATAGAAGGAAAAGAAATTCAGTAGCCAGATCTGATGCATGACTGTGTGACCATGGTTGAGAGCAAGGAAGAAAAGAATTGTATGATCGTGATCATGATCGTGATCATGATCAGACGATGGACGGGTCCCGGCGGATGCTGTCAATGGAGATATCATGTTCGATGGTAATACCAAACGGAGTATCCGAGTCCTGGGAGGGCTTATGCGGGCGATCCGCATAGCAGAGGGTTTTAGCCGCGCTGCTGGGGCTCATTGACGAGGAAGTTTGCTCGCTTACAACGGTCCCCTTGAGGGTGCTGTCCTCTCCGAATGCAAGCGACTTCCATAGATTGCGACGCGGGGCGGTAGTGGAATTTGTGCCTCGGCGATCGAGAGCAGCGCCGGCCCAGATGGAAGAGAGAGGCAGGGAAATGGTCACCAAGGTGAGAAGATTTGAGGCGAGCTCTGGGACGACAACCTGGTATTGAACGATGGAAAAGATGGCCGGGATGGTGAGCGTCTGGCATCCGCTGATAAAGATCACCTTCATCGGACCGAACTCGCGAACTCCCAGTCGCTTGCGCTGTCGGATGGCAAAGCCCAGCTTCGTGACAAATACTGCGCAGAAGAAACAGATGCTGATAGTGATGGTAATGTTGGCTGCGCTCTCTAGCCACCAGATCGCCGACATATACGCAGCATTCATGATGTAGATGCAGTTCATCACCATCCACCCAAAGCGGAATCCAATTGGCACGAGTGCCACGATGGAGGAAAGACCGATGAGGGCAACTCGGTATCGTCGACGGAGGGTCGAACAGACGACTTGGGTCTGGAGCATCAGAGAAAGCTGGATGCAGACGACGAGAAGGCTGGTGAAGACGGTTGAGAAGATGGAAACGACATAGGCACCGGTCTCGACGGCCGAATAATCAAAGGTAAAGTAGGGATAGATCTTTTCAAATCCGGTATCGAAATGGACCGTTTGGAAGACCAGACGGATGATATTGAAGACCAATGCCATGGCATTGAAGAGGAAGACGGATGAGCCACGCTTCTCGCGCTGGGTGAGAAGGAGCAGAATGACGAACAGCACGAGAGAAGCACCGAGCTGGCAGCCATAATTGATGCAGATGCGGACATTGTACTGCACATAGACGTCTAACTGGCTCAATGGCACGGTCACGTTGGAGCCATTCTTGTTGAAGATGGTGATCAACTGCTCATAGGGGTCGAAATCGGGACCGAGATTGGCGACGGAGCTAGAATTGGACATGGTCGCGGAAATAGAAGTGGAATTGAAATGAGTGTACTGGAGAATAGGAATTCAAAGTAGAACTTGAAGTGATGGATGAGATAGATGAGATATACTCGGATGGAAGTATATAAGAGGGTAGGGACATGGTCCCTACGGCATGAGAATTTACAGAGTCACCCGAATCAGGGTGAAGGCTGAGATGTATCATGATATGAAGGCAGCCGAAACAAACAATATTAGTAGAAACGAGGTGGAGGATCAAGTTAGGCGGAGTGGGAAGTGGTGGAGGTGAGGTTCAAAGGGAAAGGGAGAACAATCGTAAGAGCGGGTAACAACAATGCTAAGCCGAGACAAAGAACTGCAGAATCCCAGGGATTCCACCACATTCACACTCGATCGTATAAGAAAGTGAGACTGAATTCGTATGGGAAGTGAAGTCTAGGGTTTTAGGGTTTGTCGAACGAGTAGTTATTTTCTAGATACTAGAGTATAGTACAGCAATGCCAGGCAGCCAGGCTAGTCTTAGTATTGTCTCCAGGGCTCCCCACTCCCTGCATAGGAGCTGCTTCACAACAGGGGCATATAGGCTAATCGAATATCGGTTAATAATCGCATACTCGTACTACTCGTAACTCTAGTTAAATGTACTCTACTCTACTCTCCTCTCCTCTGCTGTATGAAGATCAAGTGGAGAAGGTGGAGATTCGGGCGAATTGCCGACCGAGTCACGGAGACTTTTCTCCAATTCTTGTGAATGGGGTACAGAATTTGATCGAGTGCAATATTTTGTAGTAATTGTATATGTAATGATTCTATGGAAGACCAGACAATTAAGAATGGCTGACCAATATCATATGAGTATAATTGTTGGGTAGTATAAAATGTCTCCGAAGGTTGCACGGAGAACAAGGGAACAGCGTTACGGATTGTTAGTTAGCCCTCAGGCTGGAGTAAAGATACCGGAAGAAATCTTTGCAGCTTAGAAATCACTAGATCTGCTAGCAATATGCATCCGATCTATACTATATAAACAGGGTGTCCATTCTACCAAACATATCTATACTAGTTACTCAATACCGCCTCTCTATACTCCCTCTCTACACTCACCATGACTTGGCCGGATGTCCCCGTCCCCCCCGCTGCGGGCATTTCTTACTTCACTCCGGCGCAGTCTCCCCCCGCCGGAACTGCCCGTGACCCCCAAACCACCGGCAAGCCCATCCCTAAACTCTTCAAGCCTTTGACCATTCGTGGCCACACTTTCCAGAACCGCCTGGGCGTGAGTTGACCTTGACCTCCCCCCTGATTCTTCTCCTACCTTCGATCTATAGCTAACTAAATATGACAGGTGGCGCCCATGTGCCAGTACAGCGCTGAGGATGGCCACTTGACAGCTTGGCATATCGCCCACTACGGTGGCATTGCCCAGCGTGGCCCTGGAATGATCATCATCGAGGCCACCGGTGTGGTTCCCGAGGGCCGCATCACTCCAGGCTGTTCCGGCCTGTGGAAGGACTCTCAGATCGCCCCCCCTCAAGCAGGTCGTTGAATTCGCCCACAGCCAGGGCCAGAAGATCGGTATCCAGCTGGCTCACGCTGGTCGCAAGGCTTCCACCGTCCCTCCCTGGTTGGGTGGTGTCACCGCCACCAACGCCGTTGGCGGCTGGACAGACAATGTCAAGGCTCCCAGCGCAATTCCCTTCGCGGATGGTGACATTGTCCCCAAGGCCATGACCGAGGATGATATCGAGGAGGTCAAGACCGCCTGGGTTGCGGCTGTCGAGCGCGCCGTCGCTGCTGGCGTCGACTTCATTGAGATCCACAACGCCCACGGATACCTGCTGTCCTCCTTCCTGAGCAGCTCCTCCAACCAGCGTACCGACAAGTATGGTGGCAGCTTCGAGAACCGTATCCGTCTCTCCCTGGAGATCGCCCAATTGACCCGCGACACCGTGGGTCCCAATATGCCCGTCTTCCTGCGCGTGTCCGCCACCGACTGGCTCGAGGAGAGCATGCCGGAGGAGAAGGGCTGGAAGCTGGAGGACACCGTCGAGTTTTCCCGCGCCCTCGCCGCCCAGGGCGCCATTGATCTGGTCGATATCAGCACTGGTGGTGTCCACGCTGCTCAAAAGGTCACCTCCGGCGTTGGATTCCAGGTCCCCTTCGCCAAAGCCGTCAAGGAAGCCGTCGGCGACAAGATGCTCGTGTCCGCCGTGGGAATGATCAACAACGGAAATTTGGCCGAGCAGGTCCTCAACGATGATAACATCGATTACATCCTGGTTGGCCGTGCCTTCCAGCGTGATAGTGGTCTGGCCTGGGCCTTCGCTAAGGACTTGGACGTGGAGATCGCCATGGCGGCTCAGATTCGTTGGGGCTTTACGAGCTTCCGGAATGCGTCTGAGTATATTCAGCCTAACTCGATGAAGGCGTCCATTTTTGATTAGATGATGATATGACCTTGAGATGACCTCGAGATACGATATTGCATAGCATATAGACTTGGAGTACGGTAGACAATAACATGGTTGAATGTGTTACAAACGGTTACCAACGGGATTACTAGTATTTTGCAACCTTAGAAGTCAAATTTATTTTAGAACATAGACCCAAAGGGATGAAATTAATGCCACATGAATGGGCCCAATGGCTTCAATGACAGTGTGATGGGGCTGTTTCGTCACCTTCTCTCCTCCGGTGTGGATGTCTCCCGTTGATGCGGAGGTGCGCCGCAGACCCGAGTGACCAGCATTATTTTATTTACCACGACTCAAAAGCACTAGAATTGGCAGTTAATTTTTACATGACTCCCATCTTCAATCATCCATATACCTTCTTCTTCTTCTTCTTCTTCTTCTCCTCCTCCATCTCTATACACCATGCTCAGTCTACAAGGAAAAGTGGTTCTCATCACCGGCCTCGGCCAAACCACCGATGAAGGCTGGGGCATCGGCGCAGCTATAGCGACCCTCTTCGCCCGGCAAGGCGCGTCAATCTTCGGCGGAAACCGGTCCCTCTCATCCGCAAATCGAACCAAGAAGCGTATCGAAGAAGAAGGTGGAATCTGCGACGTGGTCGAGACAGACGTCACCAGTTCCCCCTCCGTCAAAGCGCTAGTGGACCAATGTATGCAAAAGCACGGCCGGATAGACATCCTCGTGAGCAACGTAGGCCGCAGCGAGCCGGGGTGTCCAGGAACTATGTCCGAGGAAGTATGGCATTCCCAAGTGGACATCAATTTGAATAGCCTCTATCTCGTCTCCCACCACGTCCTACCCATCATGGAGCAACAAGGATGGGGTAGCGTGGTGAGTATCGCCAGCATTGCGGGACTCCAATATATTGGCAAACCGCAAGTAGCATATTCCGCGACGAAGGCTGCCATGATGCAATTCACCAAAGCGACCGCTGTCATTTATGCGGAGAAGAATGTTCGGCTCAATACTGTGGTGCCGGGGTTGATCTACACGCCGTATACACAGGCTCTGGCCCAGCGATATGCCCCCGGGGGTGATGAGGCGGCGTACATGAAGAAACGGGATGAGCAAGTTCCCATGGGGAGAATGGGGGATGCATGGGATATCGCCCGGGCGGCACTTTTCCTTGCGTCGGATGAAGCGGGTTATATTACGGGGCAGTCGTTGGTGGTGGATGGGGGGGATTACATCGTCGACGGGGAGGGTGTGATGGGATGGAAGTGCCCAGTACGGAGTAGATTGGGTATTAAATAATGAATATGCGTAAATCATTTCAGTTCTACTAGTACTTTTTATTCCAGTCTTATTACTTTTTTTAACAATACTACTAACTACTACTACTAGTACTCTGCTACTGCTGCATAAAATCTACTCAGCCTGAGCCCTCTGAAATGCACCCAATGACTAAGCAGAGTGGAAACGCGGCCGAGTGGAAAAAAAGAGAAAAAAGAGCGCGAGAAGCCATTCAAGTTGGGGAAAATTGGGGGTGGTCATGTCAAGGGACTTTAGATAGTGTAGAGTTAGTCTCTTTGCACAACCAAACAAGCTCAAGACTGACGTTGACCCCGGATACGCATGATCGCCCCAGTGAATTTAGTGAAGTGAGGGCGATTTGGCGAATGCAAGTGGGGAACAGGCTGGAAGCAGCGGTACACCCAGTGAAAATCCCTTTTCACCGGGTTTCCGAATCATTCTCTAGCTCTGACACTAGCAGGGACCTGTATCGCCTGCACTCGGCCTAAAATCCTGAACACGGGCCCTCGGATGCATGCGCCCCATTCTGGATGGAGTGGATGGACCCGATATAAAGTCTGTCAACTGTAGCCATCTAAATGACCCCCAATTTCGACACTGGTCCCCTTTCTTCACTACTGGATTTCTCAAGTATACCCCTCTAAACCTCGTCCAGATGGTGGAACACTCACCCACCTCTCGTCCACTCTCGTCCACTCTCGTCCACTCTTCACCCACCTCCTATATCGGAACCCCCCCTTTAGCCCGGTTAACTCTGACCGGGCGGAATGAATTTCCTGAATTCTTCCCAATGAGTACGTACGGAGTACGGAGTACCCTGGAAATGCCTCGCCTCGGTAAATGATCATGATTACGTGCTCGGGTAGTTTCATTTCTCCCGGCCTAGAGACTCCCCGATGGGAGGGGAGGATGATTGCAAATCTGTAAATCTCTGCGTACATTAATCCATTAATCCATTAAACCACACATCTCCTCACTGTTACTCGGTATTCAAAAAGCCTAACCCCGGACTTGCTCCGTTCACATCCGGCGAGGAAAATAGCCTTTTGGGGTGAAATTTGGTACTGGCACGACTTAAACTGGAGACGCCACTCCATCACTGCGAGTTGCCTGACTTCTGGTTCCTGGTGTGCTCCTACCAAGAACAACTCTCTTGAACAGCATCTACCTAGGTCATATTGATTGAGATTTCCCATGCTCAAGACTTATCTTGCATATTGCATCCTACATTCTACACATATTCCATCCAGTCTAGGCAGCCCATGACACTCGGCTGTCCCATCCGCCATTGCCCACGTGCCCCTGCAAACGGGCTTGTTTTGTTTGACATCGTTTGATTTGCTCACTTTGTCTCATCTCGACTGATTTATCTCTTTTCATCTGATACTCGGATCTCACCTCCTCGCCATGCTGCCCCCCATCCCCGTTTGGAGGACTACGGCATCTCGGCGGGAACTGGTTTCCTGCCGGCTGAACCGCCGCTGGACACCTTACCAGCCTTCTACGCCAAATGGGAATCCATTGTTCGCAATCTGCAACCTCTTCTGCTGAGCAAGCGCGTGCGTGATGTCGTGGACTGTCTCCCTATACTATCGACTTCCAACCTCCAAACAGATGCCGAATGGCGCCGCGCATATGTGGTTTTGGTCTTCATGCTGCATGGCTATGTCTGGGGTGGTGATCGACCGGCCGAGGTAGGGCGACACCAAGATCCTGACCCGATTTGAACAGCAAAAACTGACCATCTCTTGTGTCACAGAGGATCCCTCCACAACTTACACAGCCTCTATTTGAAGTTTGTGAACGAGTACAGCTCCCGCCTGTGGCAACATATGCCGGCGTGTGCCTCTGGAATTACCGTCCAATCTTCCCCGACGAGCCTACCGATAACCTGGATAATCTCGCCTGCTTGCAAACCTTCACGGGCTCTCTGGACGAGCAATGGTTCTTCCTCGTCTCAGTCGCCATGGAAGCACGTGGTGCGCCGTCGATCCCGCTGATGCTGCAGGCGATCGCCGCCGCGCGTCAAGACAGGGCTGAGGTCGTGACGCAGTGCCTGCAGCACCTTGCAGAAATAATAGATGAGATCAGCGGTCTCCTTCTGCGCATGTACGACAACTGCGACCCATACGTTTTCTATAATCGCATCCGTCCCTACCTGGCCGGCAGCAAGAACATGGCTGATGCCGGGCTACCCAATGGAGTACTCTATGACGATGGCCGCAACGCCCCCCAATACCGCCAATACGGTGGAGGCAGTAATGCCCAAAGCTCTCTGATACAGTTCTTTGATATCGTTTTGGGAATCGAGCATCGCCCGACTGGAGTCACACGCAAGGACCAAGCTTCTGCCGATGCCGAAGACAGCCCACGACCCCGCCACGGCTTCATCCACGAGATGCGTGAATACATGCCAGGCCCGCACCGGCGATTCCTACAAGATGTCGAATCTGTTGCCAATATACGAGCCTACGTCGAGGCTCACCGCGCCGATCCCGCCCTTCGCATCGCCTACGATGCCTGTCTTTCGATGTTGAGAGTCATGCGTGACAAGCATATTCAGATCGTTTCACGGTACATTATTCTTCAGTCGCGCGGTGCGCGATCTGCATCGCAGTCCGGCGAACCCAGCAAACCAGCTGTCAAAAACCTCGCGACGGCTGCGCCCAAAGATAATAAGAAGTTGCGTGGAACTGGTGGGACGGCGCTCATCCCATTCCTGAAACAAGCGCGCGATGAAACAGGCGAACCAGCTATTGATGCGTGGGCTCGACGCTTGCTCAGCAATGGCCCTGCGGATAAGGGTTCAGCTGCTTTGAGCAAGGTCGGCGAGCAACCTGATGGCCATCTTGAGGTGGTTGGTCTATGTGGAACATGGACCGCTGATGATAGTGAGGGTGGAATCTGCCATTGGTAGTGGTTGATGTATCTCCCTTTTGTATATCTTTCCCTTTTTTTTGCCATTTACTTTGAGCGTTCATATGCATCTGGGAACATATCTCCTGCATCTGCAGTGAGTAAACAAGGGCGTTAATGGGTTCACTGATTTTCGAGTCTACATACAAGTATGACTTCTATGACATGTCCACGATTTCATCATATTAACCACACCCCTCCACATTGTACGAGTATCTTTGATCTTCTCCTGGGATCCACCGTAACCTGTCGAAGCTTCTCCTCCCCTGAATATCCATCTCCATTGGTTCTCGAAGGAGAAAGGAAATGCAATGACGCAGGCACTCCGCCTGTGGCTTCGACTGATCACGTGATGTGACATCAGTGGATGATGTCATCGATCACGGTTCAGCAAGAACCCTCCAAATCTTGGAAAGGCAGGCACGACCGGTACAAAACATACAAAGGGGACCAAGTTATAAAAGGAAGGCGAACCTCCAAGAGAAATTGAATTCATCAACAACCACTTCTCTTCCACACTACACTACAACTACATCTACAACTACCACGAACCACATACACACCCTATCTATCCATCCACATCTATCTACATCTACAAACATGTCTACCGACAACGGCAACTCTTCCACTCTTGGCTCTATTGCCAACTCGGCCACTGGTATGGCTCAACGCGCCTACGGTGCTGTGGCTGGTGACTCCTCTGCTCAGGTAAGCTTGTCCCTTCAACACAAAACCATCCAAGAATTCAAACAAAGATATACTAACATTTCCCAGAACAAGGGTGAAGCTGCCCAGGAGCAAGCCAAGGCGCAAGACGAAGCTTCCCACACAACCGCCAAGCTCGGCCCCTTCACCGCAGACCCCAACACCGGCGCCGTCGCCCAAGATGACCCCAACCGTGCGACCGGCTCCTGGGACCAGACCGTGGGTTCTACCAAGGAAGCTATTGGCAACGTGATCGGCAACGAGAGTCTGCGCCGCGCAGGCGTTGAGCAAAACGCCGCTGGAAAGGAACAAGAGGCCAAGGGCCAGCTCAAGGACTGGGGTAGTGGCATGCAGAACCGTGCTCAGGGTGCTCTTGGTTCCATCGGTGCGGCTGTTGCTGGAGACCGGGAGGAGGAGCAGAAGTTCCGCGATATGCATGACGAGGGCAAGACTCGCCAGCGTGGTGCTGAGGCTGATATTGCCAAGAAGCAGGGCGTTTAAACTATGAGAAATCGAGCTTGAAGGTGGCATGAAATGAGCGATGCACTACTTTCGGATCGGCGGGCTGCTAGTGGTGGTCTCGGCTTTGTTTTATTATCACGATTTATGATTCCCAATTTACGATCCATTGATACTTAAGACCTGACTTGTTGTAAGAAATTTGTGAGCACTTTAGATATGTAGCAAAGCTCTGGCTATGATCATCTATTTAAAGACTTGAGGTAGTATAAAATGGACGAATCACAACTTCTTCCCCCAAAGGCTAGCCTAAGTACACATGGTACTTCTGTAAGCAACTGCCCGAGAATTACGCCGAGAATCTGGCCGAGACACAGTTTTGACCCCCCGTTGCATCATCGCACCGCGCATCGACGGTGGAGACACTCCACCAGTTCCGCAATTGCAGGGCCTACAGCGTTCAACGTGGCCGCTCATACTGCAGTCAACTCAACTGCACCTACATGATCGGCGCTTCTGCTACATGTAACACATAATATCTAATGTCCAGTCCCCACCGTGCCCCGCGGTGGGATGTCTGGGTACCCTAGCTATGTACTGCGCGACTCCCATATGAGCGGATTAGTTGCGTCCGCATCCTGGTGGGAACACTACCCCTACTTATATGGCCAGCTTCCCTAGAACACTCTGGTCGTTTTTTTCTCAAGACTTGGCCCTTCACAGCTTCCCATCAAGTCACTCTCCATACATAATCTTCTCCCGAAATGGCTGAACCGAACAAGCCAAACCACCGCGCCTGGTGGAAAGAAAGCTCCGTCTATCAGATCTGGCCTGCATCATTCAAGGATTCGAATAACGATGGCATTGGCGATATTCCCGGTATTATCTCTGAGCTGGACTATATCAAGAACTTGGGCGTTGATATCGTCTGGCTGTGCCCGTCCTACAAATCTCCCCAGGTTGATATGGGCTACGACATCGCCGACTATTACAGTATCGCCGATGAATATGGTACGGTCGCAGATGTTGAAAAGCTGATCCAGGGGTGCCATCAACGGGGCATGAAGCTCCTCATGGACCTCGTGGTCAACCACACTAGTGATCAACATGAGTGGTTCAAGCAATCACGCAGCTCCAAGGACAACGAGTACCGGGACTGGTACGTCTGGAGACCTCCTCGCTATGACGAGGATGGCAATCGCCAGCCTCCGAATAATTGGATTTCCCACTTCCAGGGTCAGTATCCCATTTGTCAAAAGAAGAGCGAGAAAAACAGACCCCCATTCTAATATGTCCGATCTATAGGAAGTGCATGGCAATTCGACGAACACACCGGTGAATACTACCTCCATCTATACGCCACCGAGCAACCAGATCTCAACTGGGAACACCCTCCTGTCGTCAAAGCCGTCCATGACATCGTACGATTCTGGCTCAACAAAGGCTGCGATGGTTTCCGCATGGATGTCATCAACTTCATCAGCAAAGACCAGAATTTCCCCGATGCAGAGGTCACAGATGCGCGCCGAGGATGGCAATGGGGTGATAAATTCTACGCCAATGGACCCCGTCTGCACGAGTATCTTCAGGGCATTGGCGCAATTCTCAAAGAATATGACGCCTTTAGTGTAGGCGAGATGCCTTTTGTTAAAGACGAGAAGGAAGTACTCAAGGCTGTGCAGTTCGACCGGAACGAGATTAACATGATCTTCAACTTCGAGCATGTCGATATTGACCACGGGCCCCATGCTAATAAGTTTGAACCCGGTAGCTGGAAACTTTCCCAGCTTAAGGAATTCTTCGCACGCTGGCAGACTTTTATGTATGCGAATGATGGGTGGAATGCGCTTTACTGGGAGAACCACGATCAGCCTCGCTCGATTGATCGCTTTGCGAACGCCCCTGAAGAGTACCGTCGTGATTCCTCCAAGATGCTGGCAATCGCGCTGGCTCTGCAATCGGGGACTCCGTTTGTGTACCAAGGCCAGGAAATTGGTATGCGCAATGTTCCAAAGTCATGGGGGATTGAGGAGTACAAGGATATTGACTGCCTCAATCACTGGTATGGGTAAGTGAAGGCATATATCTCACCAATGGGCTGAAATGCCATTTTGGCCATAACTAACCCGGCATCAAATCCACATAGGGGAACAGAAGAAGGACTACTTCAATGCGGAAGCCCAGGCCATTGCTCAACAAGAATACCAGAAGAAATCCCGCGACAACGCACGTACCCCAGTACAGTGGTCCGATGCTGAGAATGCCGGTTTCACTGGACCAGGCGTCAAGCCTTGGATGTCGGTGAACCCGGATTACGTTCGAGTCAACGCCGCAGCGGAAGTCAAGGACCCCAATTCGACCTACCACTTTTGGGCTTCGGTGCTTGGCCTTCGCAAGAAGTATTTGGATGTATTCGTCTATGGAGACTGGGTCCAAGTCGACAAACCCAATGAGGAGGTGTTCGCGTTCACTCGTCAATATGAGAACCAGAAGGCGTTGGTCGTGTGCAACTTCACTGCGAAGACTGTGGATTGGAACGCCGGAAGTAACGGGGTCTCTTCTATAAAGGAGGTGATTCTTAACAACTACGACGGCACTACAGAAGCTACACAACGCTTCTCTGGTGGTAAGTGGTCGCTCCGGCCTTATGAGGCTGTAGTTGTTCTTCTATAGACCCGCTCTTCAGCATAACTGGGCAGTGACTGTGTCCATAACGACACCACAGTCACAAAATATCTGATAGTGTATGAGCATGAGCAATCAAATTTGAATAGAACCAGTCTTATAACCCTAAACCATACCCTAATTTCCAAGGTGTCCCTTTGTCGGTGATCTCCGCGACTCTTCCGTATCGGAGTCCACTTATCCACCGGTTCCCCGCAACTGATAAGCCAGCGTGAACATTCCCATAACTTCACATTGGACTTCAACTTCCCTCCTTCAAATACACCACACATATATACTACACCATGACAACACAAGAAACCCCTCCCTCTCTGCCAGCACATCTGGATCCCCAAACCTACCCGCGCACAACCCACGATGCCGCCAAAAACATCCACCTCACATTAACATACACCCCACTCGACGCCAACACCTACCTATCGCAAACCTCCTCCCCCGCAGCCGGCGCAAACGTCTTATTCCTCGGTACAACGCGCGATACATTCGAAGGGCGTTCTGTGTCCCAACTCAGTTATACAACATACCCACCTCTCGCGCTGAAGACATTGACGGAGATTGCGGAGGCTGCCGTGGAGAAACATCAGCTTTTGGGCGTGAGCATCGCGCATCGCATGGGGACTGTGCCGATTGGGGAGGCTTCCATTGCTATTGCTGTTAGTTCGGGACATCGGGCTGCAGGTTGGAGGGCCGGGGAGGAGATTCTGGAGGCTTGTAAAGAGCGGGCGGAGATTTGGAAGAGGGAGGAATTTTTGGATGGGGGGATGGAGTGGAGGGCTAATGCGGATCGGGATGCCGAGGGGAAGTTGAAGAGTAGCGAGGCTTCGTGAGAGAGATGTGGCTTGGTGTAGGTTGGTATTTGGGGAAAGAATTAAAAGAATTGTCAGGAGGGCTGTTGGTGGTGGGTGGCCTTGTTCTGATTGATAGCCCAGAAAGACCAAGGCGGACGATTGGATAGAATCATATCATAATGCTACGTACACCGAAGGGATGTATGTACCGTATCGTATATAAGATTAAGCATATAAGACATTATCTGACCCCCCTCTAACTGCCAGTAGAATCGATTGGCGGGTCACGGTTTGTGATTCGAGAGAGAGCACACAGACTCTGTAGCTTGGATATATCCAATGAGCAGGGTATTCAGATTTGACAGGGCTATGGTACAATTTTGATGATACATGTCGGCGCATTTACTCTAGCTTGAGCGGCTTGCCCTCGCGCTTCCAGTCGTTGATGTGTTCCAGGATAACTCTGGATGCAGACTCGGGGGTGTCCTGGCGACCGATACACTCAACGAAGTCGTTGTCGGGGTCTGTCACGGGGAGTTAGCCTTCCAGTAATATAAAGTAAAGAGTCGGTATGCCTTACCCATCAGATAGAAGTAGATACTGTGGTCAACCAAGTAGTCCTCACCCGGCTTAACATCCCGAGGCGTGCTGAAGTAGACGCGGTACTGTTTGCAAACATTCTTCACCTGCTCGTAGGTGCCAGTTAAGCCAACGATGCCAGGGTGGAACTCCTTCAGATACTCGCGCAGCACCTCGGGGCTATCGCGAGCAGGGTCACAGGTAATGAAAACGGGCAGGAAAACCTTGTCGTCCTTGGTAGCCTCCTTAACCTTGTCGATAATCTCGGCCATCTTATCCAATTCGTCGGGGCAGATATCGGGGCAGTGAGTGAAACCGAAGTAGACCTATAAATCGCAACACGAGTCAGAAACAGTCCATCCCCAAAACCCCGTTTCCATTCAGGCCGAACTCACAAAGCTGTATTTGCCCTTCAAGTCCTCCGCAGTAAACTCCTTTCCATCCAGATCCTTCAGTGTAAACGGACCGCCAACCTTGGGTTTTCCAACACCCTTGCTCATCTCCGCGATACGCTTGCGCTCCAGACGAGCCTTCTCGACCCGGAAGTAAATCATCATGCCCGCGCCGGTCAACACGAACAGCAAGGCCGCCTTCCACGAGAAAGGGCCAGTGGAGTTGCGTTGCTTCAATTGACCCATAGTCTTCGCGCGAGAATAAGAGGCACTCGTCGAGAAGTTATTCCGGAGTTCCAAGGCACTCTTGATATTCTGGGCGGAGCGAGGGCGTTGCGCTTGGCTGTAGGCTCGACATTGTGATCGCGAGGTGCTGCGGAGGAAGGGGAGAATGCGGTAGGATTGAGAAGATTCGGGGACGGAAATGGCTCGGGCGGCCTGACCGAATAGGCCGGCCATTCTCAAGGAAGACGACATTGTCTGTTGGGGTGTGTTGGAGATCGAAAGAGAAGAGGTCGAAAGGTCGAATTGCCGCGAGCTTCCCAAAAGTCTCCGGATCGTCGCCCGATTGGGTTAGTGTTGAGGGCCTGAGGCCAAAAGGCACGAATAATCACATTGCATGATTGAGATTGAGATTGGGCAATTTACCTGTTTGTGAATATGTGGTAGGGGAGTATTAGAATAGTAAAATTAATATTCTATGCATTATTTTCTAATCGGGTCTAGATATTGCAGTGAATAGTCATCTTGTTATTACTACGTGGCAGCCCTGGAGATGGACCAAGTAACTATAGTTATAGAAGGCTACTACTAGTAGTATTGAGAATATAGATTGATTCCAAGGTTCAAGTTGTAATAGTAGTCATTCATTAATATTGCTTAATAGGCACCCTCTAAAATATCAAAGTATTAAAACATCATTAAAGGAGAACATGACAAAAAGCATGGGAATGGATATCCACGACATAACCCGCCAGCGAATGAATCAAGTCGTAATCATCAGGATCTTGTTTTGATACTTCTCATCCCGCTGGGAAACAAGATTTTCTAGAACCCATTTCCCTGCATCTTCCCGAGTGATGGTATATCCAATAGCCTCCGACTCCCGACCAGTTTTGTCGTCCTCAATGCCAACCCGAACCGTCCTGGTAGTCTCGCCGTTGGTCAAGAGACTTCCACGAACGATGGTATACGATTCACCACTGTTGATGAGCTTGTCTTCCATCGCTTGTTTGTCCTCGTGGGGGACCTTGAGAAGCACGAGGTAGAAAAATGCCAACACGATGGGGTAATCGCGACCATATTTCGACATTCCAGTCGTGCTGAACGGAATGATGTGTGGGTTGCCAGTGAGGCCCGCATTTCGAAGTTGAGCAAGAGCTTCAAGAACATTCGCCATTGCATTTTGACAGACGGTTGGGTCTTCAATAGACATTTTCCATTTAGCCCAGACTGGCCGGCTGCCAATCGTGGAAACGATGAAGTCGACGAGTTTTCCGTTTCCTGCGTCCAGACACTGCGAGACGGCTTTGATATCGAGCGCATTTCCCTCAATAATCTTTAAGTTGGGGGTTGACTCCGATGGAAATATGGAGGAGAGCTTTGAGGGCACTCGACAGAGCGCTGTACATTGGTAGCCAGCAGCGACGGCGTGCTTGAGAGCCGACAAGCCAACTCCGGTGCTAGCGCCGATGAAGGCGATGGTTTTGGTTGAAGCCATGATAGATGAGATGATGATTCAAGGTGGTTTCTGTGACCAGTTGACTGCTTAGAGGAGGTGGTATTAAATATCTCGTTGATGAGCTGTGTGGTTGTTGAGAAGGGCTGGGGTGTTCGACTATTTTATGTACAGTTGAAATGCCATAGGACATACCGAAAGATGACCGAAATAGAGATGCACTACAAGTAGTTTCAAATTTACAACAAACTCGGCCAGATTTCGCGTTGTGTTGGAGTCACTCATCTTTTGGGTGGCTGTGGCTGTCCGCTTTGCCTCATCCGGTCGCTGACATCGGTGACATCTCGGACATCACGAGCCAGCAATGCAAGTTCGCATCGTCAATATTGTGAAAGAGAATACTCGGATCATAATCACCTGGTGATTGGCCTAGCTGTCGCGCAATACTAGTTACTATAGTATGTCGCAGGCGCCGACATTCCCCAGCTCGTCCTCGTCCGCGCCCGCGTCGGTCCTCGCGTCGGGCTCGGCTTTGGAGGCCGAGAAACACGCGAGGGTGGCTGGTGAAGGGGAAGCCTCATCCTCATCCCCGCGCGCCCCTAAGCCACGCAGCTGCGTGACTTGTCGAACCAGGAAAGTTCGCTGTGATAAAAAGTCCCCATGTTCAAATTGTCGTCGCGCGAATATCTCCTGTGTTCTCCCATCTACAGATCGACAGCCAAGATGGGCGCGGCGTCTCCAGCAGGGACCCTCCGGCGACGTCATGAACCGACTGAGAAGCCTGGAGAATCTCGTCAAGCATCTCAGCAGTCAGCTTGATGAAGCTCATGCTGCTGCTTCTGCTTCTGCTGGGGGCTCACCCGGTGTGAATTTCAGCGGCAGTGGCAGTGGACATGAAGCAGACGCTAATAATCGAATTGGTAGTCTGTCTGCAAAACCGGGTAAGATGGACACACAATTTGGGAGACTCGTCGTCGAAGATCCAAATCGCAGTCACTATGTTGGCAGTGGTTTTTGGTCACGGGTTAATGACGAGGTATGTAAATTCACATTATACACAGAATGAGGTAACTGACTGACTCGACGGCTAGTTGAATGACCTGAAGATGGACACACAACATCTAGCCCTGGAGGGGAATGAAAGCTCAGATGATGAAGAATCATTCGGACAGACTCCATCCACCCAAGAGCTTGAGCGGAGCCCTCTCGAACGAAATTCGTTCTTCTTTAGACATAATCTCAACCCGGCTGCCCCCGATCTTCGGGAGTTTCACCCACTGCCGTCGCAGATTCCTTTCATTCTGGATATTTTCTCAGAGAACGTGAATTCTGTCACTCAATGCGTGTACATGCCTGCCGTTACCAAGATGATTCGGGAGCTGCGAGGCGACACGACCCGGCTGACGGCGGTCAATGAAGCCCTATTGTTCTCAATCTATTATGCAGCAATCACATCCATGGAAAACGACGATATCGTCATCAACTTCGGGTGCACAAAGCAGGAGCTGAATCTTAAATATCGCCTTGGTCTTGAACATGCCCTCGCAAAGGCCGATTTTCTCAATGTCCCTGATCTCACTTTAGTACAAGCCTTTGTGAATTTCCTTGCCCTTCTCCGCCGACACGACAGCCCGAGATTTGTTTGGATGATGACTGGTCTGGCCATCCGCATGGCTATCTCACTGGGACTTCATCGGGATGGCTCGAAATTTGCAAACTTGAGTCCATACGATGTCGAGATGAGGCGCAGAGTCTGGTGGAGCATTTGCATGCTTGATGTTCGAACATCAGAAGACCAAGGAACTGAGTTCACTATCACCGAAGGGAGTTTCGATACCAAAATCCCTTCCAATATTAACAACGCAGATATAGGGCCAGATATCCAAGAGATGGCCCCTGAAAGGGAGGGGCTGACCGATATGTCATTTCCGCGAATGTCTGCTCAAACAGTCATGATTGTAAGGGAGATGATGGCAAAAAACGCCCAATCACCGAGCATTGAGGAGCAGAGCCGCCTGCTACACGAGATCTACCAGAGCACCGAAGAAATCTATCTGAAACACGCGACCGAATCGAGTATTGCGTACTGGGTTTCAGTCACGATCGCGCGTCTAGTCACTGCCAAGATGACCTTATTTGTGTATCTTCCGCATCTATTTTCTTCCCCTAGTGAACAACTCACGAGCGAAATAAGAGCTAAACTCCTCGTTTGCGCGATCGAGATTGCGGAATACAATCATGCTCTTAATTCCGAGCAGGCATGTCGCCACTGGCGCTGGGTCTACCAAACATACACTCACTGGCATGCAATCGTCTATATTCTAATTGAGATTTGTCGAGTACCGTGGTCGCCTGTCGTGGAAAGGGCTTGGATTGCCCTTCACAGTGCCTGGTTGATTCCTCCACAGTCACACATGAATCAAAACACACAATTTTGCTTCCCGCTGAAAAGATTAATGTCAAAGGCTCAAACTCATCGTCGAAGCGAGACTGTGCGGCTAAGAGGTGACCCCCAAGCCGTCGCAAGTCTCGAAGAAGAGTATGAGAAAATACAGCTTCCTGCTAGTCCCGAATTGGCTTCCAACGGAGCAATTTCATCACTCGAACGATGGCGCCAGCTTGTGACGGATCATGGGGATGAGACATACGGGAAAAAAGACGATATTGTTGACATTGGCAACAAATCGTTCATGCATACAGGTCTTGGGTCTACTTCAGCATCTGGCTTTCAGTCCCTTCATGCCACTGCTAGCTCTAACTCGTCCACACTCAATCCAGCAGACGTTGGCCCCGTGGGCTTTGGCTCGGCTATACAATCTGATTCCTTCCCGCAAGGATCTGGAAATATTATGCAACAAGCAGCAGGCATTTTCCAAGAAGTTCCAACATACCAGCCAAACGGCGAGCCAATTGGTCCAGGGATAGTTCCTTGGTTGTGGGACGAGGAAATCCCGTCTGATCCAAATGTTTTGTCTACGGATATCAACATGGAGATTGATGATATTGATTGGTATGGTTGGGTTGATTCTGCCAAAGGCATGCAATGGGATGGAGGGCCCAGCAGTAGTCTTTGAGACACCAATAAATACAGCATGAAATAATTTCTTCTAGCTTCCAAGCCACAGAAATAATTTCCTTGAAAATGAATTTAGAAGGACGTAGCGACAGATTACACGCCAATCAAATATCGCAGATGTGCGAGCAACTTAAGTATCACCATTTCGCCGGCCCGAAAATCTCACCTTCAGAAACTGTCTTCCTAACTGCGGTGAAGAGGGCATCCTGGAAGTCCTACATTAGCTCGAAGGCTTGAATTTGACCTTTGAAAACTCACCATTGTTTCAAATGGAGCTGTATTACCCCACCAATTGGGCAAAGTGACACCGGGGAATGTAATTGCGAAGAAAATCACAATTGTGGAAAGAATGAGTCCAGTGTCAAGTCCTGCAGCAGTGATGTAGTTATATGTGTGCCACCATCCGCGCCAGCGGCGGTGAATCCAGTAGTTAAAAATGAGCCCGAACATGGCCCAAGAGAAATAACTCAACGGGGTGGCACTGCATAATCCCAAGCGTCAGAAATGTTTCATTGCTGCGAGGGCAGCGTACTTACGGTGGAATCCATGACATAGCTCCAAGCATCCTATCAACCCCATTAGTACTACATCATCCGAGCCAATACCACCAATAATACTCACACAGGTGCATTCAAGAGTCTGGCTTTTGAGCGGGGAAATACCCGCATCAAGATGTAGAAGGCGACTGGAAGCAGTGCGCCTAATAGCCAAAACCATAAAACGCTATTGTATATTTTACCCGGTCCAAACATCCGCTGAGGACCAATGACTCCTATCCATGGATATTCTGGTCAGGAACGAAGCTATAAAGAGTTCAAGTAAAATGAGTATTTACCCCATGTAATGCTGTTCGAGAAAAATGCTCTGCCGTTAGGGCATGTGAAGTGAGCTGATTGATCGCTGCATATAAATATTGAATTAGATATTGGAATTCAGTCAAAAGATTTAAGTTCATGCAACTCACGAAGCGCAAACGTTCTCAATATTTCCCAAAGTCCAGTTCATGACCGCGATCTGAACAAAACAAGCCCAGACTGCCGCGACAGCTTGGCACATGAAAGTAACGCGAGGTGGAATCTTCATGTAGTGCGCAATCTTAAGATCTTGGCAGAAAACTTGTCTGGGGAGTATTAGCAGTGATTCTGGAAGATCTTTCTTGCACGGAGAGTATGTGAGCATACGCTTGTCCCAACGTGATAGTACTGAAAACTTTAAAGACCATCACCCCAATTGGTTTCCCAGGGATCATGAAACCGGCTAGAAATGGCGATATAACATTGAGAGCTAGAATAGTTAGCTTTATTCAGCAGGATTGATCTGCCACGCATACAAAGTTGGATATTTGTGATTGCCAGGATCATACACGTCGGGACCTGCTAGCGGTTAGAGACAGTTTTACTGATACCAGGACCGCACGTACAATAAACACCGCTGCGATAATGATTGACACGAAAAGGCCCCACCCTATATTATTGTCAATTTTGATCGGTAGAGGGATATGCGAGCATCTTACAAGGTAGTTGCGAGTCGTATGCCAGAATACCTGCCAAGCCCAAAGCAATAGAAACAGCACCCAATGCCGCATACCACCATTCAGGCACTTCTTGATATTTTTTCATCAAAATCAAATGGATATCAGGCTCCTGCTCCCGAGCTGCCGTGAATCGGTGCCAGATTTCCTTGCGATGAAACAAGATGATATGCACAACGGCCGCGGTTAGGGCAGCGAAAGAAAGACCGTAATTCAAAGCAAATGTCGGGGCAAGAAACATAGGTGAGTATGCTTTGTATTTTTGCTCATCAAAGGAGAAACTTTCTCCCAGGATTTTGGTAACATTGTAAGACTGCTGAGTGTTATCAAAAGTCGAGGATGTGTTGATAGGAAGATAGGCAGAATAACTGAACTAATAGTTAGTTTTGATTATAAATATCCAGCTCATGCTTACTCACAAGGCTCCGGTGTAAGATATTCCAATAGTAGCAAGTATAATGAAAACCGTTAGTCCAATCAACGTATTGACTATTGCGTGTGCTGGAGCCAAAAGCGGATCGAGGAGATAAGCTGAGACGTAGCTAGTATCCGTCAGTAATTTGATGGCATCAATCAGGCTGAGATAGGGTTAAACGAACGTCCAGTCAAAGGTAATTGGGATCAATGATAGTCCAGAAAATCCGCCGAATAGCTGGTTCAACACCACGTTGTTTGGACGAATCCCTACACATCTCGTTTTAGTTTCCAGAAGAAATGTTAGAAAAAAGATACATACAAGTGACAAACGCGAAAACCGAAAGGCCTTGCCAGAGCACACCTGGGATCCTTTTCAGGCTTAGCAATAGCTCCTATAGCTCTTTAAGAACTGAAACTCACCAATACCAGAGAAATGCAGCCGCCATAACGTAAATGAAGTATCGGTACCTGGAGATGCTCCAACCATCTGTCTCAGATGGGTTGGACGGTCGCTTATCATGGAGAGCGTGGAACAAAGCTGTATTGGCAAACTGGCCAGGCCATATCATAGCAGCAGGCCTACCAATCATTAACACGGATATTATTATCTAGAGCACAATTGACTCACCACACCAAGAATCGGCGAAAGATTCCAGCCAATGCAATCCCAACCACCTGGCTACTCAGCGCAAATAGCAGCTGGAAGCCCCATCCAATTTCCATGTTATAGAAAGCTTCTGAGGTCAGTAACAGACGACCATGAAGAGGGCTCAATCTCACGTTTTGCTTTCAAAGCTAGAAGAGCATCGGTGCAATAGGCATACCCTATTGACACACTATAAAAGAGGTATTAGAACTGGGCCGAATGATATTTGTGCAGTCTTACTTGGCCATAACCTAATAATTGTCAGTATTTCCAAGTTTGATGATGAGGACAATTTCTTACCGTAATCACTGTATGTTCCTTGATGGTGAAGGGTCCCGTGTTTAATGTCCACCGTAGCCCAAACGTATTAAAAACCTTGGTTGGCATAACTCTAGCCCAAAAACATCCCATCGGATAGACGAGCAATTGTACGACAATGGCTGGAAAAGAGATAGCAGGACTTCTATAAAGTTTCTTAGACATGTTTCCTACTTGACAAACAAAAACAAGATCAAAAACATAGAGACATTGATTACGAACCTCATGCTCAGGAACATGTTTAGTCCGCTGCCAACAGTCGTAAAAAGTAGCCCGAGGACCCAGGCACGCACTGTATTCGCAACCTCTCCATTGTCGGTATTGCGCACAGCCGCACGGACAGACTCATATTGTGAATCTTGCGCAAGCGACTTATCCAACTCGACCGCTTTCTCATGGTCACCATTCTCAACGGCTTCTTTGATAGCATCGAGTTTCTCCTGGGGTAGATTTGGATCCCATTGGTGTGACAATTCAAATTTCTGTAGCTCCTTTATGTTATCTGTAGCTATTTTCTCATGCCGTGTCAGTTCCTCCGATTGCGAGGGCGAGATGCCGTCGATCTCGGGGACAGATGGGTGCATCATGTCGATACCGGGGAGATTTTATTCGACAGACGAGCAATAGCAGTATACCGAGGTCTATATAGTAGCTGCTTATCATAGGGGCAGTCTTCCTTTGACCCCCACCCAAGATAAGCTCGCCCAAGCATTGCGGCGTATGGGATGCAACACTGTTTCCCCGCATCCCAACCGCGCGCAGGCCCGATAGTCAAAATGACCTATTCAGGCAAAAAGGCGGAGTAAGATAGCACTAGTACCACTACACTCGCTTGTAATAGTCTGCTGATTTTGATATGACCAGTCACATCGCCAGTTGGATGAACACAAGAGTCAAGACAGCATCCACCTGCTACAGTAGGATTAAACCCGATTACGTATACCTGTTTGGACTCTATTGGCTCGCGGAAATTTCAGTTGCATTCGATTATCACTATTCACCGCTCCACGCGTTGAATCCGTCCTTCGTCCTTTCCCCGCCCATTCACGCGGCCCGATTCGCAAAATATTCAAGCGACGATGACATTAATTACTTTTTACAATGGACTTCCCCGGCCTGAGGCATCAGAATCAACCTTGCGTGGTCTGATTGAGCGCGTCACGGAAGACCTGAGAGATATCGAAGCATTTCTCCCCATAAAAGTATCGACTAGGAGAAGAGAAAGAATACGCGAGTTCCTTACGGTGGAGCTTAACTCATTGAAGCAATATGAAGGGGATTTTCAGCGTTTGAACCAGGAGAGCCAAGTGGACTACCTGCTCATCAAAAATTACATGGAGGGCGAACTCCGACAGTTGGATCTCGATAACAAACAAGACGAGAAGGCATCTTCGCTGATTCCATTCGCGGCCATATTGGTTGATCTCTGTGAGGCGAGGGCCTTCGTTCTGCCAATGAATTCCAAGGATGCTGCGCAGAAGTTGTTTGAGGTGCAGGTTGAAATTACCAAAGTTATTGAAAGGGTTGGAAAAGAATACACCACGCAGCAGATTGAAAAAACTGTTGCATTCCGTGCGGCGCGCACCATCGATGCCCTGCGTGTCCATCTGAAGGAGTGGTATCTATTTTATAAAGGATACGATCCATCCTTTGATTGGTGGGTGTCAAATCCGTACGGTATCGTGGAAAAAGTCTGAAAAGTATTTCCGCAATTATTCGCGATCGGCTTGTCGGAATTAAGGCAGAAGATGATGGCGCAATTGTTGGCCAGCCCATTGGGCGCGAGGGGCTTCTTGCTGACCTTCAAGCGGAGATGATTCCTTACACCCCCGAGGAAATTATCTCTATTGGCGAGAAAGAATTTGATTGGTGTATTGTGGAACTGAAGAAAGCCTCGAGCTGTATGGGACTAAACAGCGACTGGAGACAGGCCCTTGAAAAGGTCAAAAATGACTATGTGGAGGCCGGGAAACAAACACAATTAGTCAAAAAGCTTTTCCACGAGGCTGTAGCCTTTGTTGAAAAGTATGATCTCGTCACAGTTCCCTGCGTGGCTAAAAATGCCTGGCAAATGTTCATGATGTCGCCAGAGAGACAGAGGATAAATCCATTTTTCCTCGGCGGAGATTCAATCATCGTATCATATCCGACTGATACAATGGATCACGAAGCGAAACTGATGAGCATGCGAGGTAACAACATTCACTTTGCCCGCGCGACAGTCTTCCATGAAATGATACCGGGTCATCACTTGCAGATGCACGTCAATGCCAGATCTAAACCTTATCGACGCATTTTTGATAGCCCATTCTCAGTGGAAGGCTGGGCTCTTTACTGGGAATTTCTGCTCTGGGACGATGAAAGGTTCGAGAAAACGCCCGAAAATCGAATTGGAATGCTTTTCTGGCGGCTTCATCGATGCGCCCGCATTATATTCTCGATGAAATTCCACCTTGGTCAGATGGTGCCCCAAGAGTGCATAGACTTGCTTGTGAATGCGGTTGGGCATGAACGCGCAACGGCCGAAGGAGAAGTTAGGCGATCTCTGAGTGGTGAATATTCACCACTCTATCAGATCGGCTACATGGTAGGCGCAATACAGATTCACGCCATGCGAAACGAGGTCGTGGGCCAGGGTATAATGAGTGAAAGGGTATTCCATGACACGTTCTTGAATGAAAATCGGATGCCAAATGAGATCATGAGGGCATTGATGTTGGGCAAAGAATTGAGTCCTAATTACAAGCCAAGCTGGAGATTTTATTCTGATGTGAAATAATTGCCGCGCTCTGTTTTTTGACCTCACTTGACCTCACAACCTTTTTGGAATCGATAAAATCCATTGGAGCCTTGTATATGAGTCTTTTCCGAGCCAGGGCCTTCGCAGTTGGCATACAACATCCTGGCTGGGAGCGTTCGAGGTTGTATCGACGTAGAACTCGGCGAATTGTAGAGCGCCGTGGATTGCCAGGTATCTGGGCGCTAAGCTCAGTATAACTAAGCCAGGCTTCCGACGGACCAAAAGACAAATAGATCGGACAGCAGCACGGGTAAACTTGGCGGGGGCACCCCCTCGAGGTAAGGACTTGGTGGTTTGGTGTTGTTTAAATCGTTCCAAGGTTGTATAAACCGTTGCTCGACTCACGCCAAAATCGGAAGCAATTTTGGAGGCAGATATGCCTGATTCGTAAGCATCTATAATAGCCGAGCGAGCTTCAGATGACAGCTCTGTCCCTTTTTTGCGATCTTTAGTCTTTTGGGCGATACTCTCCATGGTCGTCGTGCAGTGAGTGAAAAACAAAAAAGGGCATCGCGGTTGTCGACGCGAAAAACACGCTCGTGCAAGTAGCGTGTTTCTCTACCACAGTGGGTGGAGATGAATTTGAGGTCAATCTGCCTCCTGAAAAAGGTATCTTGCTATTTCAATGGATCTGAAATTTTGATAAACAATTTATTCTGCATAATCGGATACAAGAGCCCTGGAGTACCTAATAAAGTAGCTAGAGTCAGACTGGGAAACTTTTACTGTATTTAGTTTCACTGCATATCCAAAGGCGAGAAGCCGGACCATAGTCAAAAACTGAAGAAGATTCATGAATTATTAGAGTGAAGATAGGTGTCACTATTAACATGCTTTCTCCGAGGCTCATTTTTGGTTGGCCCCAAAGGAAATCAAGAAAGGTTTCTTTGGGGAATTGGGGTTTGATAAGAGTCGCCGACGGGGAATAAGAAATCTATATAATATGCGAGAAATCGAAGATAATTTCTTAGAAGACCATACCCTTGACCTGTTGGACTGCCTTGAGGTCAATGTTGCGAATCATCATAGTCCAAGGAACGGCGAGGACCATGATAGCGGTACCAGCAGCAAGCATTCGGGTCTGCGCATAGCCGTAGGAGTTCTGGATAGCAGTTCTGACGGGAGATCCAGGCACGTAAGACATCTGGGTCTCGATATCTTCATAAATTAGGTCGAAGTTGTCCATGACCTCGGCCGGAAGATTCTGTCTGAGAGCCTTTGAGAAGGTGGCCTGCCAGATAACACCACAGATGGTGGAGCCGGCAGCATCTCCAACAGTTCCGACAACGTTCAAGAGAGCAAGGACGGTGGCAATGTTCTCGTGGTCAACGGCTGCGAGGATAGCAAGCTGCTCGACGATAATAAACACAGCTCCACCAATAGAGATAAAGACCTGGCACATTACAAGATATCCAACCGATTGATTGGGACGACGGAAGTAGATCATCAAGCCCTGGGCGAAGATATAGAGAGGAACGGCGATGTAAAGCAGCCACTTGAAGCGACCAGTCTTGCGGATCATAAAACCAACTCCAAGAAGCAAGACGCCTGAGACAACATCGAATGTGTTCGCGACATAGCCCGACTGTGAGATCGTAAGATCATTGACCACCTGAAGAAAGGACGTGAAATATCCGTTCCAGCAGTAGTAGCACAGCTGGTAGGTTGCATCTAGCAAGCAAGCACCAATAACAGTGCGGTCCGAAAGTAACTTCCAGCTGAGCATCGGGCGAGGTGCGATATAATTTTCGTACAGAACGAAAACAAAGAGCATGACAAACCCGACGACAATCATGGCAATAATGTAGTCAGTACCCCAGCTATTGGGAGCCTCAGCTGCGATTGAGAATGGAAGAAGGAACACAACGAGGCCACCAGAAAAGAGCAAGACACCAATAATATCAAGCTCATTGGCATAGTACCAGACGCTCTGTAGAAGAGTTCGATTGCTTGGCTCCCTCTCAAGCAAGCCGGATTTCTTGGCCTTGTAAAGATTCCACTTTAGAATGACGAAAAGAGGGAATGCGACGATGGGAAAGATGATGGCAAAGGTTCCAAAGGCCCAGCGCCAGTTAATGATCTCGAGGTAATCCTCGGCCACCTTTGGGCCAGCGAAGGCGGTGATGATGTACGGGGAAGAGGTGAAGGCGAAGGCCAATGCTCGATTCTTCAATTTCGATGCATCTGCAGTAACGACATCGATGGTATAAGTCATACCACTGAAGCCGATATTGTAGAAACACTAAAAAGCATAAACTTATTAGTCATAGGGGATATGGTGTTCGGACTGGGATGCTTACATAGGCGGCACAGAAAGTCGGGAGGTTATGGCAAGCAGCCATCATGATCAGTCCCAGAGTTCCGAAAATGACCATGGCTAAGAAGCCCTCGGCACGACCAAATGTATCCATGGCCCGGGCCACGGGAATGAAGGTTGCAGCTGCCATACAGTCACCGACAACATAAATGGTATTCAGCAACGAATGCGAGGAGAAGTCGCTAGTAACATAGGGGACCATGGTCCAAAAGACCGACGATTGGAAGGCATTGACGAAGTATAGGAACCAAATACTGCGAGGGAAAATTAAGTTAGTTTTAGATCTCAAGATAGGGCTGACGATCGGCAGGATAGGGTAAAAACAAACTTGATGAAAACGGCGATCAGCGTGCCCTTGGTCCAGGTCAACGTTGTGGCCTCGATGTTCTTGACACCCTGTTGCACATCTTCACTCGGGCGCTCAGGATTGTGCTCCGAGCCCTTTTCATGAGGAATATCATTGACTGGGACCGCGCCGGCAACGACAGAGTCAGTCTTCGTCTCCTCTGCTGTACTGGTCACAGCGGGAACAGACTCTTCAACCGATTGGCGCCGAAAAGCGCGGAATCTGTTAATGACCGTCATTGCTTATTGAACAACCTCAGGTTGAAGCAAAATGGGTTAAGGAACTCAAACGAGTACGAAATCACGCGGGGGGGAAATTTTATCTTTATGGCAATCGCTAAATTTATCGGCTAGAGTTCACTGATTGATATCTTTTCCTCGCGTGTTGATTTTGTGGTACACTAACTCGATACATACTTGCCAAGGGCCTCAGAGCCTGTGGATGGCCTTGGCTGGCCTTGGCATCGCCTGAACCTGGAACTTCCACCGACATTACTTCGCTGGTGGCCGGACGCCATTCGCGGATAGTAATAATTGGCACTAAGTTAAGCAGCAGCACAGTCACTCTTTGCATTGACCTCCCAATGCAAGCAAATCGGCTGTCACAGTCACGGTCACATATGTACACGGTAGAAGCGTGGCATGGAGGTGAGGGGAGGGGGGGGAGGGGATATGATAATACGAGCGCGCGCTCTCGGAAGCAGTTAGCCCTTATAATTGCAAAGGTGGTAGCAACAAGGCGATTGGACATAAGGGCTCCATCTAATCAGATGATCGAGCAAAGGAACGGACGCGGCGCGGGCGGAACCGGCGCTTCAGTTCCAAATTTTCGAACTTCAAGTTCCACCTTTGCTGCAATCGAATAGAAACAACCGAAGCGAAGGGTGGCTACTTGGAGGCGTCGTGGAAATGTCCCGAGATGGTGGGGGCCGCACATAAGCCACGTACAGCCAAGATCTTGGCGGAATGAATGCCTGAGGATGAATGCACGAGGAAAATGAACTCGGTGCTTCGTACCCAAAAAGGTTTAGAGGAAGAAAAGTTATCAGATTCTTTTTCTCCGGTCCGTGCGGTGGTCTGGCGAGACAAGTGGAGTAGAGAGAGATTCGGAATCACCCGACTTTGCCGGGGAATAAATTACATACAGCTAGTGGTAAATAACGAGCATCCAGTATAACTTACATTATTTACATTACTTACAATACTTACAGTACTATGGACTCGGACTAGATGGGGGCTTGGCAATTTTCTCGGGGCTTGGCTTTGCGGTGTTTAGTACTCTTTCGGGTGAAGATAGTAGGCTTTATACTTATTGTACCAGTACAGGATAAATCTAGGTACCCTGAGATCGAGAGAGTTGAAGAATAAAACTCCACAAGTCGGAACACTTGCGTGATCCCTCCAATATCTTCATTCCATTTTACCATAAATGCAGCCCTGGAAGACGAGTAATGGGGCCGAGTTATTAGCTGACGCACTACAGGATCGAATGCAACCTCAGGGGCTAAAATAGTCATTAATTTGAATGGCAACTTTGGACGTCGCTTGGACTACTTGGCAAACTTACATCTTATAAGCTGAAATTTAATACGAAATACAAAGATTTAAACCCATGGGTCATTACCGCCACCAGTAAATTATCACGAGCCGAGACCATCTGATTAGATTGAGTTGAAATTCTTTTATCCCCCTTCAAGTTCTGCCCAGGCGACACCATTATCGCCTTACAGCTTGGAATTGACCCACCTCACAGGTCGCTTCTCCACAAACGCCTGGATTCCTTCGGAGAAGTTTTCTCCACGCATCAGGCGCGGGTACCATTGATCCGCCAGGGTGGATACGGCCTCCTCCGCACTGCCATATTCCCAGCTCATCCGAACCCCTTCACGGCCGACAATTAGCGCGTCCGGACTGTTTTTGCACATTTCCAAGGCAACCTTCACTGCGGCGTCGGCAACATCTGTTGAGGCATCCACCACTTGACTAATAAGGCCCCAGTTTTCGAGAGTTCTCGCATCCACTGTCCTGCCAGTCAACACGAGGTCCATGGTACGTTGGAGTCCAATCGTACGCGTTAGTCGTGGAAGACATCCGGCCACAGGAACAATACCGCGCTTCACTTCCGGTAAGGCGAATGTGGCGGATGAAGACGCGATCACAAGGTCACAGTTGGCGATCATCTCGAAGCCTCCTCCCATGCAAATTCCATTGACGGCGGCGATAACCGGCTTCTTGCCACTTCTTCTGGGCAATCCGGCGAGTCCAGGTGCATCCATACTGTTGATCTCTCCGGTCTGATTCATTCGATTCCATTCTGCGCGTGTGGATCGCAATCAGTTGAGGCCAGAGACATTGTTATCGTCATTGGAAACTGGTAATAAGAATTACCTTGTAAATCAGCCCCAGTGCAGAAGGCTCTGCCCTTGCCTGTGATAATTCCGACCCATAATGTTTCGTCATGGTCAAATAATTCCCAAACCCCCTGGATTTCACGACTTGTAGCTTTGTCGATTGAGTTGAGCTTTTGCGGTCTGTTGAGGGTGACTTGTAGAATGCGCTCGTCCGGAAACGAGAGAGTGAAATTTTGGTAGCTGAGGGTCCTGCTTCGGAGAGACATGGTGACTGTGGCGTGTGAGATAGTCGATCAAGCAAATTTAGTATAGATCTGGTGAATAGGAAGTAGCAGTATTATACTCGGTCAGTGATCGATCAGGTAAAGTGCAGAAGGTGCCACCCAAGACACTCGGGCAACTTTAACGACGGAAGGAAGCGATATCGGGGTGCCATTCTGGGAATTTTGTTCCTGCCGAGGCTCAAAGCTCACTATGTATGACTAGTATGCCTGGTATGCCTGGTATGACTAGTATGACTCGGATTCGGACACGACATTCGCTTAAAATTTAAATCCGAAACTAAAAGTACCGGAAGGCTGCCATGCCAATACAGAGCTTCGACCTAATTGGATCATCTCGGCATAGTTAGCCCTTTTAGTAAATCCCTGAAGGGGGGCTAAGGTTGTCTATTATTATTCAGTCAGATTACAGAAGGGTTCCTCGACATAAATGGGATTCAAAAGCCACAAAGTCCTGCAGAATTTCTTGTTCAAGCTTATACCTCCAGTTACACCACAATGGCCTCAATTTCTTCACACCAATATCCACTGGTGAAGCTACCACACCCTTTTTTGACCGCATATCGGATCAATGCTGTCTCAAATACAAATCCAGCCAAGCTCAATTTGGCATTCGACAGCCAACCTGCGAATGGACGTCCTTTGCCTCAGCCTTTGCACCTCGATTCTTTGACTTGGCGCGAGCTTTCCCTCATTCCCGAAGCCCAACGACCGCCTATCAATGATAATACTGCTTGGGGTCGGGCACGTCGGAGTCCTGAGACTACATTTGAATGGTCTGGAGATAGTGCGCCTTCTCTGGGCCAGATTTGGAACGTGATTCATGGGATCAACCTGTCACACCCGACAAACGAATATTTCCGGCTGCATCTTCAAGGTTCTGGTAGCGATATTATTCGAAGTGAGCTACTATCCACTGGCCTAGCTATTGTTCACCCAAAGCCCTTCCAACCCTGGTCCAAAGGGTCTGAGGAGTTTAATGAGTTGTTGGTGCTCCGAAGTTCCTTCTGGCAGGGCGCCGCTTCTCCCCTGGGCCCTCGTCCGATATGGGCCCTGGGAGACGGTACAGATGGTCCTGTGCGTGAAACGTTGGCAAACTACCCCATTATGCCAGAGAATTACCAAATGACATCGAAGTTCCCTGCCGAGCCCGTATATACCCGGCATCCGACACGTCGCCCCAAGCCGCACCCCGGGTCCATTGCCTACAGCCGCTATATTCCTGAGATAGATGAACACTTTTCTCTCGAAGTGGTGGATTGGCAAAACCCCGAGCATTTGAAGACCTTCAATAAATGGCAAAATGACCCACGCGTTGCCCAGGGATGGAACGAGACTGGCACCTTGGATGAGCATCGCGAATATCTCTGCAAGTTACACTTCGATCCTCATGTGCTTTGTTTGTTCGGCCGTTTCAACGATACACGCTTCTCCTACTATGAGCTTTACTGGTCTAAGGTTAGTACTGTTTTGCCGTTCTGTAACACCATTTATTGTGCCAAGTTGCTAATGGCGAATCTTTTGTTTAGGAGGACCACTATGGTGCGCACTATGATGCTGGTGACTACGATCGCGGTCGCCATTCTCTCGTCGGAGACTCTTCATTCCGCGGCGCGAAACGGGTTAATGCGTGGTACTCCAGCTGCATTCATTACTGCTTTTTGGACGATCCTCGAACCGCGAACGTGGTGGGAGAACCCAAAGCTGCGGGTCCGATTATTCTCTCTCCTACGAGAACGCCCAGGGTTTAACGATTGGAAAATACGTTGATTTGGGTCATAAACGATCGGTTCATTCTATTGCAAGCAGGGAAAAGTGGTTCCAACTGTGCCCACTTTGGTGGGACGGCCGTGAGCGACCGCTCGAATCGGCCGATCGCGCTGCCTGGAATGCTAAGCTGTAATCCTAGACTTAATATACTGCTGGATTTTTCATCAAGAAAAAAATGTACTTCAAAATTGCAATTTCATAGCCAGCTCCCTTACTTTTCCTCAGATCAATCTTTTCCCTGCCCTTTAAAGACCAAATACTGTTGCCTCGAAGCGCATGTGTTGACCAATCCCCACCGGAACAGGCCCGATTGGGCCAAGCTGGAAAGATCGCGTGTCAGAAGGATAAGTCAAAGTCAACTTGCCGGGAACCGACCCAGCAAGTCCACTTCTACAGCCCTAGAGACTAGAATTGGGGACAGTGGAGACTAATAATGTGCTCATTTTGTCGCGTGGTGTGGATGGAGTCAAAAATGGAGTCCAAGTCCGAGATTGATAGTACTAAATACTAGTATATTACAAGTGCAGGTACAGATACAGATTACAGGACCAAAGTTACCGCTAGTTCACCGTTTCGTATATCGCGCGTATTGGGAAATCTCCACCCCACTTCACCAAGTAAGTATCCATTCAAACACCCGTAGGGCGCGGTGTTGCGCTAATTGAGCTCGTGTCATCGTGCTCCTCTTGTGGATTTGATCTGCTAGGACTCAACGCAAGCCGGTTCGATGTGGACCGATGTCGGCTGAGCCCTAAGCCGATTTGGGTTATCCTCAGGGCCCCTGGGGAATTTTCTTGAAGAGAGATGTGAACTTCCTTTAACATGCTCGAGCCTCCTACGAGCTTCTATCGATCTTCAGCTGTTGTCAGTCTTCCTACAGCATTACAAAATTCAAACAGATCGTCCCTCGTCGCTGGAGTGGATAGCCTAACTCCTGACGACGTGACTGCTGCTCTCCTGGCAGCATAATCTTATCAATCAGCGGCTTCCTTATTCGTGTTGCAGGCCAACGCGCCACAATCCGATCACGATGGGAATCCTCTCCAAGATGGCGGGTTATCCCCGCATGATCCTTGCTGGAGGTCCTTCAAAGATCGAGCTTGGAATGCTGTTTGTCGGCTTTGTTGCTGCTTGCGCATCTGGTGTCCCATTCCCTTTGATTGGTATTCTCTTCGGTCAATTGCTCGATGACTTCAATGAGGCTACCTGTAACGCCTCCGCTGGGACTGCGACTACCGCATCTAATTCCTCAGAGCAAGGCGATATCAACTCCAAAATTCTGATCATCTTCTACCTGGCCATCGCGCAATTCGTCACAATCTACATTCACCTTTCTTGCTGGACTACCTACGGCGCACGTTTAGCGCAACGACTTCGCGAAAGATACCTACAGAACTTGTTGCGACAAGAACCATCATTTTTCGACAATCTTCCCCCTGGCGAGGTCGCCTCGCGATTGAACACGGACATTCAGACAATTCGCTCAGGATCATCTGAAAAGGTCGGAATCTGTATTTCAAGTTTCTCCTTTTTCGTTACGGCCTACATCGTCGCCTTTATCAAACAATCTGTCCTGGCAGCTATGCTCATCTCGCTGATTCCCGCCTACTTTTTGATGTCATTTATCGGAAGCTACTACATCGAGAAGTACTCTGCCCGCGTATCGGATTATGCTGCGTCTGCAGCCTCAATTGCCTCCGAGGCACTTTCCAACCTTGTCGTCGTCCATGCATTTGGTGCAAATACTCGCTTGGAGGAGAAGTTTTCCAAAGCTCTCAAGGAGAGTGAGCGCGAAGGAATGAAGAAGGCTACGGCTATTGGTGTCCAAGCCGGATTTCTGTACTTCATTGCTTACTCGGCAAACGGCCTAGCTTTCTGGCAGGGAAGTAGGAAGGTTGCGGAGTCAGTAGATGGTTCCAATGCCGGCTCTACCGTTGGCTCGGTCTTCACCGTCATCTTCATTCTAGTTGAAGGTAAGCTCCTATTCCTTCTGTGATTGCGTGTAATTCCACTAACAGAACTCCAGCGACTTTACTCCTAAGCCAAGTCGCACCATTCCTCCACCTTTTCACCGCCGCAGTTGCCTCGTACGAGAAGCTTCGTGGAGATATGGAACGGGAGCCTCAGATCGATGGTACTACCGACGCAGGCATTCGTCTCGCCGAGGCACAAGGAGGATTCGAATTCAACAATGTCTCATTCTCCTACCCATCCCGACCCGAAATCACTGTTCTCGATAACATCAGCCTGAGCATCCCAGCAAACAAACACACCGCCCTTGTTGGCCTGTCGGGAAGTGGTAAATCGACTATTGCTGGTCTTGTCACACGATTGTACGATCCAAACCAAGGAGAGATTCTGTTCGATGGACATAATCTGCGAGATATCAATACGCGTGATCTGAGAAGTTTCCTCAGCCTCGTGCAGCAGGAGCCATCTCTCCTAGATCGCTCGCTGCTCGAAAACATCGCTCATGGTTTGATGAGTTCCAGTAACCCCGAACACAAGGAGCTGAAAGCAGCACTTGTAGCATCCGATCTTGAGGGCCTTGCCAGTGAAGTCAGAGATGGCATGGACTTGATGACCGCTGCCGAAAGCCGTGGAGCCGAGGTTGTCAAAATTGTGAAACTTGTTCAAGAAGCTGCTGTTCTCGCAGACGCAGACGGTTTTATTTCCGCTCTCTACCATGGCTATGCTACTAGTGTGGGTTCCAGTGGTCGTTTGATTAGCGGTGGCCAAAAGCAACGTGTATCGCTCGCAAGAGCTCTGATCAGAGATCCCACTGTGCTTATCCTTGACGAAGCTACCGCCTCCCTCGACTCCCGAACAGAGCGTCGCATTCAAGACGCCATCAACAGAATTTCCAGCGGCAGAACTATGATCACAATTGCTCATCGCCTATCAACAATAACCAACGCCGACAACATTATAGTCATGCACAAGGGACATATTGTCGAACAAGGCACTCATTCGGAGTTGATGGTTATGAAAGGAACCTATGCCAACCTTGTCTATATGCAAGGACTTGGTGGTAGCTCGGGAAAGACCGACACCAGTGTTAGCATTGACAGCGTGAGCAAGTCCGACCAGAGTTCTTTAACGGACACAGAAATTGAGAAGAGCGGTTCCAATGATATCGCGCCCGACGAGAAGCGCACAGCCTCTGCAACTGAAATTCAGGTTTCCGGTGCTCCAGAAGAGGAGGAAGAGCCGGAGACTCCTAAGAAATCACTTTGGGCTATTCTGCGCGGTTATGGTCCCGCTATCAAGCCGCACTTGTTGATCGTTTTTGTGGCGTTGATCGGATCTGTCATCGTTGGCGGAGCGTTCTCCGGTGAGGCTGTCATCTTCGGCAATACAGTCGGAAGCTTGAATCCCTGCAAAAGCGCGGATAGCATCCGGTCAAGTGGTAACTTCTTCGGACTTATGTTCTTCGTTCTTGCAATCATTGAGTTCTTCTCAAACCTCGTCAGCTGGGCAGGATTTGGTTGGGTCTCAGAAAAGATGGTTTATACCGTCCGCGTTCTGTCTTTCCGCTCACTCTTCGAGCAAGATCTCCAATGGCACCAGTCCAAGGGACGAACACCAGCTCTTCTTCTTTCTTATATCACCCGAGATGGAAATGCTTTGGCTGGCTTGAGTGGCTCGGTTATTGGAACCTTGATTTCGATCACAGTCAATCTTATTGCTGCAATTATCCTGACGCACATCATCGCCTGGAAGATTGCCTTGGTTTGTCTGGCCCTGGTACCTCTTCTCTTAGGAGCAGGTCTCATGGAGCTCCACGTTCTGGGTAAATTCGAAGAAAAACACGAAACTGCATACACAAAGTCGGTTGATATTGGTGTGGAAGCTATCACTTCTATCAAAACAATCGCTTCGCTCTCTCTTGAAAAGGATATCCTCAAGAGTTATCGACAGTCTTTGAAAGGTCCTCGCAAGGAGACCCTGAGAGTCACCCTCCATGCCAGTCTCTGGCAAGCAACAACATACTTCCTAGGAAATTGTGTTAATGCTTTGGCGTACTGGTGGGGTGCTAAGCAAATTATTGCGGGCACTTACACACAAACTCAATTTTTGATCGTCGTTTTCTCTCTGCTTGTCAGTGCTCTTCTCTGGAGTCAAATGTTCGCCCTAGCACCTGAACTTACAAATGCTCGGAATGCGATGGCTCGTATCCTTGGCCTAATTGAACTTGGATCTGAAAAAATGAGTGGCAAGGTGCCGAGTCACGATGAAACTGACCGCTTGAAGAATAACGACCCCGAAGGAACTGCAGAGCCGAAACATATCATTTCCGATGGTCAGGCTTCGGGTGTCCAGTTCCGCGATGTTCACTTTGCGTATCCAGCTCGTCCAGACATGAAGATCCTCAACGGCTTGAACATTGAGATCCCACCTGGCAAATTTGCTGCTCTGGTTGGGCCGAGTGGTGCCGGAAAATCGACAATCATTTCACTCGTTGAGCGTCTCTATACTCCAGAAGCTGGATCCATTCTTGTGGATGGCTTTGATGTGACCAAGGGACACAGCGTCTCTTTCCGTGACTCCATCTCGCTCGTGCCCCAGGAGAGCGTCCTCTTCGAAGGAACAATTGAGTTCAATATCGGCCTCGGTGCCGCACCTGGACGTGATGTTACATTGGCCGAAATTGAAGAGGCCTGCAAGCTTGCAAACATTCATGATACTATCATTGGCTTGCCGGATGGGTATCAGACTATGTGTGGGCCTAACGGCAGCCAATTCTCCGGAGGCCAGAAGCAGCGCTTGTCGATTGCTCGTGCTCTTGTGCGCAAGCCGAAGCTGTTGATTCTCGATGAGTCAACTAGTGCTTTGGATGCGGAGTCTGAGAAGCTTTTGCAAGACGGCCTTGAGAAGGCTGCGAGAGGCATCACAGTCATAGCTATTGCCCATCGTTTGCGTACGATTAGAAAAGCAGATGTAATTTTCCTGATCGAAGCCGGTCAATGCGTCGATCATGGATCGCATGAACAGTTGCTGGAGAGATCGAAGAGTTACCGGGCCAATGTTATGCATCAAACAGTGGCCACGGATTAAAAAGCTGTTTCATATTTCGAGCATTAGATTTGAATTTTTAATTTGCTAGAGACAATAATATTTTCTTCATTTTCT